AAGAGACAGGTGTGTGTGTATATATATATATATATATATATATATACACACATATATGAGGCCACCTTAGTCTACCCTTTCCTTAGCAAGCAGTTTCCCAGGGGACATTATGGAGTGAAAATACTGTGAATTAAATGCTTAGTTTAGCAGTCAGATAAGAGGATATTATTTATACATTTGCTTTTTAATCCAAGGACAGACTTGAAGAGTTTGCAGGTGGAATTTGCTGTCCATTTCAAGGGTTTGGACCTTGGATAATAAGCGCTAAAAACATGAACTGCTATAATTTTAATGTAAAATAAGTAATTTCTCTAGCTAGCAGCTGTGGTAGATTCTTAATCTCTCAAAGGACTCTGGAGCTGACTAATTTGATGCTGCACTGGCACTTAGCACTTGAATGGCCTGCAAAAAACCATGTCACATGAAAGTATAATTCAATTTGAATTGACCAGACTGATACATAAACAGGAAATGTTTTCTGACACGTAGACCTCTGTGCTACAATCTGCCAAATAATGAAACACTGTAAGGACTATACAGAAAGACAACTTCTTCCAAGAAAAATCATCCTGTACAAATGAGGCCCTACTTACTTACTTACTCGTAAGAAAGAGGAAGGGAGTTTTGGCTTTTAAGCTAAGAACTTGCCAGAACTAAAGACAGCCCTTTTGTCTGTGTATATGATTGCATAAGTCTTCATGCAAGCTCAACTCATAGGAGGTTTTAGTAGCCTTTTATAGATCCCTGAGAATTGCTGTGCTTGTAAGAATGACAACCGTCTCTTGTCCTCAAAATCTGCTGCAAAATCTATATTCTTTCTACTTAATCCATGTGCTGAGACATAAAAAAAAGCTAGTAATTGAAATGGAATGGGAAGGAGGACAGCTCCCAAATGCCCAGAAAACAAGTAGTTCACTGTGTTTAACAATATTTAGGACCAAATGACTACATTTAGTGTGCTCACACCTGCACAAGAAGATGGAGTACCCCAGCCTCTTGAGTAGGATACTCCTTTGGGAAGAACATGATCCAGGGAGTAAAGTCAACACAAAGAGATGCATAAGATGGCCAGGACTGGTGGTAGGGTGTGGGCAATAAAAACAACCCACAGCTAGCAGGTTCTCCAGTTACAAGCCCAACCCACAAAACTGCAGAAGTTGTTAGTTTTCGCACTGAAAATCTTGTTTACCAATCCTATCTTCTCATGAGAGCAGGAAGACATGGGGGAATGCTCTACTGCCTCATCTTTAGCAAAGAAACATGTAGTCCATCCTCCTTGTGTCACTGTTCAACACAGTTAGCATGGGAGTGGGGTGGGGGGGTGGAGCAGAGCTCATCACGGCTCTGAAATCCCATGTTTGCAGGGAACCCAAACATTGTGACATATTTTGTTGTGATGAAGGTTGAGCATTTCCAGGCTTTCCAGCAGAAGTAGACACAGATCTTGTAATCCTGGAACCGAGTGGCAGATTGATAACAGACAAGGCAGGTTTCTACACAAGGTGCTGTCTGCGCTGAATTTTCATTGAAATGAAGACATTTCAGCAAAACATTTCAGTTTCATCGAATCAGCATTTTCCGACAAAAGCTCTCACATAGGCTTATAAGGCATTCTAGTAAGGGGTGAGGTGTGGACTCCACCCCTTTAGACAAGGTATTTAATCATATTTTTGTTGCCCACAAAATTGACCTTTGGCCTAACTGGCAATGTGCAAGTCTGCCGTAGAATTGCTCTACCTTTAGCACAGCAGAATTCTACACATCTCACTTGACACAGAGCTAATCTTCTGATTTGCACAGCAGTAGTGCCCACCACTACATGCCAGATTGTCACCGCAACTGAATACACCTTCAGAAGAGACCTTTTCTGTCTTGGAGTTTACAAACAAAATATGCATCCTAGAACAGACACTTGCAAACGCATTACACTTCAGAAAAATGCTTTCTGCATTTTTCTGTAAGTACCTTTCACTGCAAGTGCTTACAGAAAACTAATGGATGTTTAGTGCTCAGTCTGATGAAATTTTGCTATGGCCAGAGGAAAGACAAAGAACACCGAAAATCTCATCACTGAGGGACCACCTGCAAATGTTATTTAGACTCACCTTCAGACCCCAATGACTTATCCCCACCTTTTGTTGTTGTCAGTTAACCTGGATTCCTGATATTTAATATATAGCTTCATGCCTTGAGCTCCACTATTTAACTACAACTTTGGACCATTTATGTCCCTACCATGATACTGTGCTAACTGGCAGCCAGTGTCTTTTGATACACCCACCTAAAAAAGTAAGTTCCTTCAATCTATGTCCACCTCTTGGATTTATGGTCTAGTCCGTTTGCCTTGGCGTGCAGCTGGGTGACGATAACCCAGCCCCATGCTGCTGCTGACACAATGCAGGGTGGCTGAGCAGTGGGAAAAAGTTTATTTGTAGATAAACCAAGACTTCTCCTACATGATTTAAGTTGAGCACCTAAGTACGTTTTCATAAAGTGGCTCTACTAGTTCAAATCTAAATTGATTGAAGGAGATCTTTTGGGCTTCATTCATAGGAACTAGTTAGTTGGGCAGCAATGCCAGCAGGGGCAAGGCAGGCTTACCCCTCAGGCATATTAGACAGGCCCTGCTGTCATCATCCTTCTCTGGGCTTGGATTATTTTGAATTGAAGAAAGTCAACCATGACAAAATATATTAGTTTCACAGGGAAAACAGAATAAGGCCAACCATCCCTTACTTCACTTGTGATCTGAATAGGATTTGATTGTATCCTTAGTAGTATCTGGCCCATTCTGAGCAAACATGGGCTGAAGCCATTTTTGCCTTCCAAAGACAGTTCTCATAAGTGTCACTTTGGGTTTGTTAAAATGGTGAAACTCTGAAACATTTAGTATGTGTTTCCATTAGTGTATGCTTTCCCCTGAGCAGGGTTATGATTGCCATTTCCAGAGCTGTGTCCAGCCATGCTGCATAGTAATAAATATCTACATCTTGGCCTTACCCAGCCAAGAAAATGGCAGTTATGAAAAATCATTGTCTACAGTTGCAAAAAGCTGTGAAACCTAAAAATGTAAAATGATTTAAATCAGTGTGCACAAGCTGCAAGCTTTCTTAGGATCTTAGGATTTATATGCAATGGTGTAGAAGATGTCTAAATGTTTGTTAAGCTTTTTTATACCTTATTTGTCATGGTAGACATTTGTTATAATTGTATGTGAGGTTTTTTTGCATCATGAAAAAAAATGCCATCCATATATAATATCCATAAAATACTGACTTCCTAATTGTGGACCCCTGCTGCAAGCAAAACTGCATTGAAGTTTGTTTTTTTTTTTTTCCTTGCTTTCTTATTTGCCAAGAAAGTGAAATAGAGACGACAAAGTACGGAAAATAACTATTTTGAGGGTTTTTTTCCAGAACTTTCCATGAATCATCATCAGCTATTGGAAAAAATACTCTGCTAAAAATATTTTGTACTTTGCTCTCTTTCTTTTCCATGCCAGTTGACTTCAAGGAGCTATTTGCCAGAGCAAGGAATCTGGGATAAATTGGGATTTCTATAAGCACAGTAAAGAAATGGCTCACAAGTCCCTGGGAGGATAGGGGAAAACCTGAAAGGAGTTTATTTAATCCACAAATAGAAAGACTTACACAGCTATGTTATAAACAAAGCTATTCCGTTTTTGCTGCTGGTGGTCTGTTGTTCGATTACCTTTACTCTTCTTTCCTAGGTACAAGGGTCTTTCTCTTCTACTTCGGTTTTAGGTCACCCAGCTATGTGACCTATGCGCAGCTGGAGGGATCTGCCCCTTCTAGCCGTTATAGACTTGCTTTCTGCTAATCTTTCCTACGAGTACTGGAGGAAGCATAGTACTACATAAAGCCCAGGTGACACTCTTTGCTTTAATCAAAGCCATTCTGAGCACAGGGGTTTTTCTTGTCAGTTTGTGAATTTTATTTTTTTTTTTTAATGAGAATTTGTTGATGTCATCCTAATCTCAGCTAACCTCGCCTCATACATCTTCTGCATTCGGGTAACCTTAGTGGGTTAGAGGTTGATTTTAACACCCAGCGACCATAAGCCAGAAGGTTATGCAGGCAGTAAAAAGATGAGGTCATTTGCGGTACGCTGTAGTGGGAACCTGTTTTACATTACTTATTTCATACATACATGGGACAGGCAACTTGATCTAGCTGCCTCTCTGACAGACCATAGCAAGGTAATTATTTAGTCAACAAAAAGGGGAGGAAGACAAACTTTGTAAATGTTAGTGTTTCTGAAAAAGAACAAACTTTTAAGTCCCTTCTAATTCAGACTCAACCTGCACCGCTCACTGGTACAGTCTAACAGCAGAATGGGACAAATTCTGTTGTCTTCCCCAAAACAAAATAACAGAGGCATATAGTACACTTTATGGCTGGAAGAAGTCCTGCAGGGTTTTGACCTGCCGTAATGTTTTCCATGTACTAAGGATCAACCATCTCCATTGAAATGAAGAAGTGGAGAAAAGGTATGGGAAAAAGATGAGAGCCCTGAGAAACAAGTGACCTCATGTGCTTCTCTTTAAGAAGTTGAACAGTCTCAGTGATGCTATTGGAGAAAGTTCTTCATGCCAAGCAAGTGTATAAATGTCTATAGAGTCATGGCATAACCCCCGTGTCTGGTAAACACACACTGTATTTTATTTTGTTGCAATTCAAAAGAGTTGCTTAAAAGCGGTTCACACCTCATGGAAATGTTTTTAAAACTGTTGACCCACTGCTGATACTTATCCCCTCCTGGAATCACTGTCTTCTCTGACAACCCAGGGGCCCGCTGTGGAAATAATTATGATACTGCAAACACATAATTATAAACATGGGAAAAGGACAAGGAAGGAAAAGCCTATGATCTCTTAAAGAAATATAGATCATGGTGTTATGCAAATTACAGTGCCTTCTCTGAGAAAAAGAGCTATAGAAAAGTAAGGCAGAAATAAGGAAAAAAATAGATTCAGTTGTATCTCTTGTATAAGAAAAAACAACTCTATAAAGATGTTCTATACATTAAAAGTTTTGTCTTGGAAAACAGATTTTTGTTCCTATCTGTAACTGCCCTGTAAAATACAAACCACTGATATTTAATGGAGAAGACCCAATAACAACAGTTCACAGGCCAGTGGTTTGAAAAATTATCTGTCTCCAGATTACGCTAGCAAAAGCCATCATCCCTTGCATTGCTTTGCATTTTGATGTAGCCGTTGGAAAGATGTGTTAACTCTCAACATACAAACAGTCCATCAGCAAGGCAACACTAAGAAAAAATACCCTCAGCCACAACAACTCAAGATTCAGAAAGACTCAGGATTTCAAAATCACAAATGGATGTTTTTTGCTGCTGAAGATCTTTTCACAAAGAAGCTAGGTATCTAGTAAGTATTAATAAACTACTAAACAATGCCAAAATCAGAAACTCGGCAATTCCCGTCCTCCCATCTTTGAGGTCAGTAAGGAGCTCTGCTTTTGGTCCCTTTATTTGCTAGTTCTGTGAGGATGCGGGTGGGCTCAGCTCTGCAGTCCATCACACCGAGCCAGGCCGTGGTGGGGCCTGGAGTTGCACAGGGGACTTTGGGGTGGTCGAGAGGCTGCCCCAAGGGAGGCACCGGCACAGGTCCGCTCAGCCCCTGTGCCCCCACAGAAGGCACTTGTGAGCAAAATTTGTAAAGCCCGGGTGGAAGGTGAAATAAACCCTCCTTTGTCTATGCATGCAGTTTCCAAATGCATCTAAAGAGAAGTCAAATTAAATGAAAGCTCTTGGGTCTTATCTTAGAGGGCTACCTGTGGCTGGAAAAAAAAAATCAGCCTCGAAGTTACATCAAGTTGATCCTTGTGCGGCCTTAGCAGCATGCTCTGTCTCTCCTCTTTCATCCAAACACGGAATAATTTGTGCAAAATTAATTCAAAGCCATACCAGACCTTCTTCCCCCCCCCCTAATGCTCAAAGTGAGGAAAACTAGTGGAAAGGACTGAAGCGGCGGGGGGCTGTTACCTGTTACATCAGCAGCGGGGATGAAGCAGAGCACCACGAGGATCCCCGGGAGCATGGTGCTGATGGTGGGCCCGCTGCCGTGTTCCCACCCCCTGCAGGCACTGCCACCTGTCCCAGGGTGGTACCGGCCTTCCCTCCCTGCGGGGCCAGGCTGCACCCTCCTTGCTCACGCTGCTCTCCTCCTCCCTCCGCACACACGATACACAGGCGGGCGAAACCGCTGTGATGGCAAGGCTTGAACAGGAAGTTCGAGTGTTTGCTGACTTCAGCCTTAGGAAGTTGCCTCTGCAAAGCTCAGTAACACCTAAAAGTCAGTGGAAGCCTGCCTTTCCAAAACAGGGACTACTCTGCTCCCTGTTTCACAAGATGCGTGCTCGTGTCTGGGGCTCTGCAGGGACAAATGGACTTCCCTAGGGGTGCAGCACTGTTTCTCCACCAAGAGTACATATAGATGTACGCTGTTCCCTGTGGTAGAAGCAAACAGCAGCTCCCAAGTTCCTGGTGGAAGATGTTCTCTCCTAGGAGCAGAAACCTTCCTCTCTCAGCCTGCCGGCTGCTTCTGCCTGTCCTCCCAGCCCCTGAGGACACTGATGTATTTTGGCAGTAGATGATCTAGGTTTGTTCATTTTCATTTTTCTGCATCTGCTTGCCACCTAATAAATGCAGACCAAGCAACGCATGAAATTGTGATCTAGTACACCTTCCCTTTCTGAAAAAAATCCCCCAAGTTACAAATGAGCGCAACAGTACTCCAACTGACGTCTAAATAAAAGGAGCATGCAGCAAGCACACTTCTCAATTAGTGCGTTCACTAGAAGTCTTCTTACTGAAGGTTTGTGCCTTCATCTCACCTGGTAAATGCTCACTCTTCTTTGCTCTGCAAGCTCAATGTCACCTCTCCCCTTGAAACAGCAGGATTGTGAGAGCCAGTTAATGGCATTTAAACTGTCAGGAACTCTGGTTATTAACTATTTACTTTTGTCCATCGAAGTAGAACTATTTAACTGTATCAGTGCCTGTCATTATCTGTGATTTGAGAGAAAAGGGGAGGTGTTTAGCAGGAAGACAATTCAAGAAAACCGGACTGTTGTAGAAAGGGATGAAGAGCCATGAGTAGTTCTGCCTTTTCCCTCAGTATCTGAGGTCTTTAGGCCATGTTTTATCAGAAATTACATATACAATCTAAGAGAAGCTTTAGCTGGGACATCCATTTGCAGTCTAGGAATTCTAACAATTTTATTTTGTTTTGTAATCAGTGTAAATTTCCTGCAATACTGAAAGTTTTGGGATTTCCTTATACTTAAAAAAGAAAAAGGAGAAAGAAGTCAGATTCTCTCTTTCTTATCCTCCTTTTGTGGTTTCTAGATAAATATCCTGAAACCATATGAGTGTACCTGCAGTTATCAATGAAATAGTCTCAGCTTAAATTGAAGTGAGAATCCCTCAACAAAGCTACAAAATTTAGTAACTTTTTGCTGAACTGCCCTGTCTTAGAGATGAAAACCACTGTTGCCAGGTAACTGAGCCTACAGGTTTATCAAGCCTGCTGCACACTTCTGCATCCTGGCTGTCAAATACTTTCTGTATTTGGGATATGGACTAGAAATGCACAGGGGGGTACATTCCCACCTCATCACAGAATTAGCAGAGTATATTGTTGAGAGCGAGCTACTGCCAGTAACTCAAACCAAGATGGAACAGTGTGCACTGTCTTCAGTGTGCCCATGAACATTTATTCTCTTCCATCCCTTATTGCTCCTCGTGTGCCTCTCCCACGGTAAGGACAGTCCAAGGAACTTATTGCAAACAGGTACTGGGCTGGTGGAATAGAGGAGAGGGAAGAGGGGCCACTGAAAAATTATCCACTGTGGCCCTAGAGACCAACCTGTGATGTATCATTTCTCTCTGTGATGACAAACAGTGGTACCGGTATTGCCCTTTCCAGAACCTCTGGAAAGGTTATGATTTTGATTTTGCCTAATGGTTTCCTCTTTGATCCCTAGAGTAAGTAAGGATTTTATTTTTTTCCCCCTCCCAAAAATAGCTCTTGGCTCATCTGCACTTCTTGGTTTTCTAGGATTTTAAAAAAGCACACATCATCACTGTGTTCCAGAGGGTATGGCTCCTTTCCTTCTCCAAATTTCAGCTCTCGCTCTAATTTAAACTGTTCATTTCCAATCACTTAGATACCTGACTTTGTCACTTCACATCTATGATCTTTTTCTGTTGCCTTCTGTTATTGTGAGGGGAGCGAAAAAGATAGTATGGCTTTCAGCAAGCTGTCTTGCACTTAGGACAAACCACATTAAAGCTTATTTAGGAAAAAAACCCACAGAACTGAAAATGTCCCCTGATATGCCCTCACTCTTAAGTTTTTGTTATTTTTGCATGTAAGTATCTCTTCTGCTATACCTTGAGCATTACCGAGGGTGTTCTGCAGTAACATTAATTCAGGCACCATTCACTCCTATTCTTACCCCATTTTCCATTCAGATATCAGTCTGTTGAGTCTGTCTGTACGCTGGCAGGCAGGCTCTGCTTGCTGTCACAGCAGTGGAAATCCAGACTAACAGTATAATTTCATTGGAGCTAGAGCTGTGAGAGCACTGAAAGAAAGAGCTAAAAATGCAATTTGGCCTGGTTGAGAAAAAAGAAGGTTTCATCCCATCACAGAATGACTGGAATTGCACTTCAAGAAAAGTAAATGAGAGGTTTGTATATAGGTTTTCAGGGTACGTAAGAATCTAGACTGTGGGCCTGGACTTTTTACTCATCATAGTATGTAAATAAAATAACAGTCCAGGTATTTGGTTGTAGCTTTTCATTCCTACTATTAGAAAAGCAAGCACTGACAGGACATATGACCAGAGTTTTAGAGAAATACTGATATGATCTAGTACGGTTTCTCAGAGGATTATCTGGATATCTTTAAAAGAGTCCCAAGAAATCCCAAGCAGGCTGCCAGTTTGCCTTTATCTTAAAGAATGAGGAAGCAATGACCCCCATGTCCTGAGCCAAATGTTTAGCTGTTAAAGTAAAAAAAAAAAAAAAAGATATTCCAAATTTGTTGTGATTAAGAGGATAGTTTAGACACTCATTTTAAAATAAATGGAGTCTCCCTTCAATCACTGGAAGTTGTATAGTGTCGTAATTGTTCCCAATACATACTCCTGTTCTCAGGCAAATAAAAAGAGTAATTGATAAATACCATCATCCACTTATTCCTGAGGATTCCAGTCTAATGGGAGAACAGTACATCACTAAAATTCCCAATTAACTACTACAGAATTAACTTTGGATTCTCTGGACTATCCTGCAACTCCATACAAAGATTATATTTAACAGTTGTCCGAATCTTCCTCTCCTTCCCCACCATGAGGAATCATATACACAGACCTTGAAGAAGTAGCCTGGGTAGGCTTTATTCTGTTTGTTCTGCATGCTTGCATGTTGTCAACTGCTAGAGAAAATGCTTTCTTTCCTACAACTAAAAATCTTAAAACATCTTTATTTTTCCATTGCTGCTGCAAGTAATGATTTGTTATGCATCCTTGGTACAGATGGAAGGTTGATTCCTCCACATATTTACTACAAGGAGAATGTGCTTTAACTCGCTGCTGTAGAGATGCAGAAGTGGGGTGGCAAAAAGAGTTGACCAAATAGTCATGCTATTTCTAACTAGGGAGACAATGAATGATCTATGTTACTCACCTCCCACTGTGACCAGTAAGTAACCCTAAGGGGTTATGTTGCATTTGTCATCTGAAGCACTTCATAAGGTTACATGTTATTATTTTCACTTTACAGATGGGAATGGAATCATAGCAAGGTGAAGAGACATGACCGAGGACATGCCCCAGGTTAGTGGCAGAGCTAGGAACCACTACAAGTAGCCCTGTGCTCTCCAGTTTCCAAGGTCTGATCGGCTTTCTGACAGCCTCCATTCTATGTTGTTGTTTTCCTTGCACACTCATGAATTTTCACTGCTGTGAGTCTTTTCACACCCTTCTTTCTGTGAATCCAGATGCTCTCATACCACAAGTACAACTATCACACTTAGAAGGGAAAATTAATATACTCTGTTGGAGGGAATTTTAAGTTGGTTTTCTGTACCTTAAAATATTACAACTGGTGTCTGGTACATAGGAACCTTCCAGAGCCAGAGCTTAATATGACATGTTACAGTGGAAAGGGAGTTTTCTTTTTTGGAAAGATGCGAAATTTTTGTTTCCAGCTCTCAAGATAGCAGCCTATAAATGTGTCACTAATGTAAGACTAAGCGGTACCATCAAACACATATATATGCGAGAGAGCTTGAGGGAAGCCTTACATATTTGAGGAAAGAAACATTTCCCTGACAGGCTGATTAGTTTTAATGCCAATAGCTGGAAGCTGTTCATTAGTGTTTGTTGGGCAAGGGGCAGGAGTTCACACATGTACATTCCTGGCTCTTTTCAAGTTAAAAATCTCATCCCAGTTTCAAAGTTGTAACTGTTTCTTCTGGCTGTACCTATTCATGGTTTGGACTGTTACAACAAGTCTAAAAGGAGGTGCATTAATGTGTGGAAAGGGAATGGCTCAAAGCTGCATGATTAGCTCCATCTATCACCTGCCTGTAATATGACATATGCCTGCTGCTTCATTAGAGGTCACATGTTTAGGTAGAAACACCTGAAATGGTGTATGTACACACCAGTGGTGTATGAACGAGTATGTATTTGCTAAATATTCCACAGTAAATGAGTTTTCAGATTAAGGTTAGAGGGAGAATAATTTTTGCTAACTGCCCTGCCTGCTCCTTGTTTCTCCTGGGTAGAAAAAGTGAGCGAGACCCCTGCATATTACCATTGAAGGTGACAAAATTTTTTCAGTTTACTTCAGTTGAGGACCTGATGCTTGGGAATGGTAGAGCATAGAGACCCTGGAAAAATAATCCTTAGTTCTCTTAGCCTCTGTTTTAGAGCTGCTTCTAGGCAACTGGAGGGAGCTGGCCTAGCTCACCCATTTCTGCAGTGAATGACAGGCCAGTAATCTGTCCTTCCTAAGGAGAGGAGTATGGGAAAAGTTGGAAAATAGCCAGTAAAGACATGAAGGATATGGCAACAAAGCAGTGGTGTCCTGTGTGTGAGGGTGTTCAGAATGCCT